GTGTGGGTGTGGGTGGGGTGTGTGTGGGTGTGGGTGGGGTGTGTGTGGGTGTGGGTGGGGTGTGTGTGGGTGTGGGTGTGAGTTGGAATCTTTTGTTCACTCACACCCACACCCAGAATACACGCATATATATCGTCGTTGTCATTTGCAGTCTTTCGTGCTGAATAGAGCATATCGTGTGGAAATACTTGCACTATTCCTACGAGTGTAATCTCGTGGATCAGTGAAATGAAGATAGAAAATTTTTCTTTTTTAGAATTCGTAATTGCTTTTTCATACGAAAAAATATTGTTTTAAACTTATCTTCGCTGTAAAGATGTCTTATGAATGTTTTGAATTATTTCTCCTTTGTAATTGAATATCTTCCGATAAAACCATAGGAGATGTAATTTGTTCAATAACATCACGAAGAAGATTCACAAGATCAAGTTGAAATTCTACCACTTTAATATCAATTTTAGAAAATATCAACAGTTAGGAAAATTCGTTTTTTTCGAACGCAGTCTTGCTCATTTAAATGATGTTACCAATAAATATAAAGTGAAAACCGATATGTATAAGACACACATAGAGATTTTGTTCAATTCAAAATAAGAGTCGATCACGGAAACAAATACCTTCTGCAGAATTTTTTAAGATTTCGAAAAATATGGATTTATGTATATTTCAATTGATGGTAATCATTTTGAACATTCGTTATAAACGAAACTATATGAAATAAAACTTAAAAGAATATACTATCATACTATAAAAGAAGCGACTAAATCACTTGAACTGTTTAAGAGACATGTACATAAACTTTTCCGACAGACTTTTGGGACGCCCTGTATGATAGTGTATGATGTACAACGACAAAATATTCTACTGTTGATAGCGAGATTGTATACTCACATATAATGAAATAGAAGGCTTGTTTTTAGTTTTTTTGGACGGAATAAGAAAAAAAGAACCACACACTATATGAAACTGTTTTTTTCTGGTTAAAATAATCATCTATAAAATCTCTTGAATAACCAAAAGTCATGAAGGACGAATGTCTCCGAAAAGTTAGTCTGATGTTTAGTTGAATTTAATAATGACGTTCTTTGATCTTCTCAGCAACAATCTTCTCTGAATAATCCCACCATTCTCAAGCTCGTTCAGCATCGTCTGCATGAGGATTCGCAAATGTCTCCTCTCGACAATCTGCGTAATATTTTCCTGGTACAGCTTGATCTGATACAGCACAAACTAAATTTGTTTGAGTACCTTCAAGTTGTGTTTTAAAAAGAAGTGATTGGAAAGGAGCATTAATCCATTGAGATATAGCAACATGTCTTTGAAGACCTGTATTAACTACACCTGGATGAAGAGCATATGCTTGAAGTCCTTGTGATCCATAACGATGTTGTAATTCAATGGTAAAATAGATATTTGCTATTTTACTTAAAGCATAAGCATGCCAGGGTGTATATGTTTGTTGATTTAATTGCTCTGCATATGTTTCAGGTGAACAAGATACTTGCCACATAGCGTGAGCTGCTGATGAAACATTGATTACACGTGATTTTGATTTTAGCAATTGAGGCAAAAGTAATTGTGTTAAGAAAATTATACAGAAATAGAAAGAGAGAAATCAGAATGAAAGATGTAAACAAGTCCAGTCTCAAAGCGTTGTCTTTATTCTTTTCTAACTAACCTGTTATGCTTAAACTGAGACTTCATATATATTAGTTCGCTACAGTCGATCTGATCGTTTCTAACGGAAAACTTGCTGATGACTCCTATTGAATACATCGAAAGATGAAAGTATCCATATCCTTGAAATCGCTAGAAAAAAATGGTAATAAATTGCGATTTTATCATCGATTATGGTGCTTCATTATATCATTAATAGGTGTACTTTCTGTGATCATATTTTTTATAAACTCTCATTAATAATTTGTATTGGTAAATGGAATATGTAGATTATTCAACATGAATAAAGCATGTAGTAACAGCAAAAATACTATAGTATTAGCTTGTAAACATACCTGATGATATCTTGTAGCATAAGTAAAAACACGTCGCACAATGCTTTGAGCCTCTCTTCTGTGAACTCACTGTGACCTTCACAGAATTTTAGTTCAGAAACTACTAGAATTTATGTACGATAATGGTCACATATACAAGAAGCTTATAAGAAAAAAAAACGTCTGAAATAACAGTTCATCGTTCTTTCAGCTCCAGCTCAATTTCGGCTTACCGAACCACGAAATCGGAATTCATATACTAGTTAGCATATCATAGATTATAATAAACATGCTAAACATATTTTGAATTCCAACAAGACAAATTTTATCCCGGTGAAGTTTCGGGATTCAACGCCCAATGAACGGTATCGATATTTGCATCTATCTTTCATTAAATGATTAATATATTTGAAAGAGATGAATCATCATCCTCGAATAAATCTTTTCTCACAGCACATCACGACGTGGCATATTTATACTCGCATCAGCATTTAGTATTGCTCACTGAGTTATTTATTATCACAGTGGTTGGTATGACAAGATTATTTTGTCGCATCTATCGATCTTTTTCCTTAATATTGAAAAGTAATCTCGGATGTGCACAAACTTGATATTTTTCCTTTGAGCAAGTGCTGAAGCTTCAATGCAATGGTTTCATAAATGACACGTTCGTTCTTGTTTGAAAGTCTATTCCCTAGACTGAAAGGATAGGGTCTAGAAACCTAAATTTTCTGTGTTTGGATCGGTTACGTCTTTGTTTGTATCGGTGACGTCTGTGTTTGTATCGGTGACATCCTTGTTTGTATCGGTGACGTCTGTGTTTGGATCGGTGACGTCTGTGTTTGTATCGGTGACGTCCTTGTTTGTATCAGTGACAAAGGTCGCTTGAATATTTTGGCCTGTTCTCCGAGGTAAATTCATCGTTTTGGTGAATTTCGTAGTCACATTCTCGGTTTTATCTTTTGCCAATTTTTTCTAGCAAACTTTGAAAGAAATATCGTATATGTTCTTTTTTTTTTCAAATATCAATCTTCTCTGATTTGCTTTTCGTTTTCGTGTTTATCGCGCTTTTCTTAATTTCACTTTAGAATATGTTATTATCATAAATAGTTTAATTTTCATTGAGTTTGCTTACTTGAAATACGAAGTTGCAACGAAATAACGGTGCCAACTCGTCTTCTACTGACTTTAATTCTTCCAGTAATATTGAAGAGTATGTGAAAATTTTCTAATTTAGTTGGATATTGATGTGCACTATCACCTTCTCTATATAGTATTTGTTCAGCGTCTTATTCTCCAAAAATTTGCCGTCAATAGATATCCAAATGTCGACTTCTAAGGACCGAATGCGAGCTTTTCGTGCCCGTCGTGCACTCGTAGAGACTGCTGAACAAAAAGAGAGTCGACTGACTGTTGATAGACAATATAAAAAACAGCGACTGGCTAATCTTCATGTCAATCAAACAAATGAAGAAAAGCAGGAGCATCTTGCATCTCGTAGCCAATACGAAGTGAAACGTCTAGCCAACAAACGTGCAAAAGAAAACGCAAAGGAGAGAAAAGAACGTCTTACAGCGAAGCGTGAGAAAGAAATGAACCGTCGACAAAACTTACGAGCGCGCGAGACTGATGCGGAACGAAATATTAGATTAGAGTGTGATCGTAATCAACATCGGTAAGACTCACAGTTTCTTTGCTTTTTCTATCAAACATTCTTCTTTTCTCTTTCGCTCGTAGGGCGAAAACACGTGCGAGAAATGATTCAAATATGGCAATAAACCGAAACTGCGCTGTATGTGGCTATAAAATCATGACTCAAAATTGGTCACAATTAACTATCAGATCATTTCCGAACCTTCATCGTCTTCGACCTCAGAGCGAAGAGATACCCGATTCTGTTCTGAAAATTGATTTTTCACGATTTACTAGTAAGAATCTATATTGATCGCAAATCATCATTTTGAAGCGTTTTCTAAATTAAAATAGGCTATGTTCGGCGATCGTTAGAAACCTTTTCTGGTTTCGATGTTCTCGTGAATGGAGCAATATTAGGACGACGCGGGATCGACACGACAACTGGTTTGATAGTCGTATGCCGTGGTTGTCAGACCTCTTTACAAAACAATGCTACGCCCACATCGGCTTTGAGCCGCTTATACTCGCCAGATAATGCTTCAGATGAGGAATAACTTTCATACTGTATATAAAATTGACGTTACTTAATATTTTTAAGCTGTTCATGCATAAAGACGGAACATCACTATATTTAAACCCAAATTGCTTTCCAGTTTGTCAGTTAATGATATCCTAACTATGAACGGTAGAGAGATTTGATAGTTTTCGCGAATGCTATGGATGCCCAAAATTTCGACTACAAAAGCTTAACAATTGGTTCTTTCGAAATTTCTTGTTTCAGAATCTCCAATTCTTCGGTCAATCAAATATATTCAACCATCTGCACTATACGATAAAGTGAATCTTCATTCGATGAATATTATTTCTTTTTTTTTACAACTTTTAGACATTTACGGGGTTGGAAATAATATTATTCCAGGGGGGAGGGGTAACGCTATAATTACGAATAGCAACCATAATGAATTTTATACCAAATGAAAGCCCGTAAAAAATGGGGTTTCCTGATACTAAATAGTAAGGGTTTTCAAGATATTTTCATATAATAAACCTTCAAAAGTTTCGCAATCTCGTAGAATACATTCGTTCTAATCTATTTTCAGGGAACTGTAGAGCAAAGAAAAACAGATATTTTCCGTAGAAAAATCGAAAAGATCTTTGTTTAAACGATCATAAGACGTGGATTCGATTGAGAAATAGGACGATCCTTTTACGTCCTATTGTTCGGTCCACCTGGAAGCAGCTATTTAGAAGACTTTTTCATATTTCATATCGGTAAACTATAGTAACTTTTGAAGATGTATTGTATGAAAATATCTTGAAAACCCTTACAATTTCGTATCAGGAAACCTCATTTTTTACGGGCTTTCATTTGGTATAAAATTCATTATGGTTGCTATTCGTAATTATAGCGTTACCCCTCCCCCCTGGAATAATATTATTTCCAACCCTGTATATTTCTGTTCTTTGTAATTCCACCTGCTGAACTTTAAACTGATTTTACTGTTAATTGATTTTTAATTACGAAATTCAAAAACACTCGGCTTTTTCCTTGTAGCACATTTTTTTATTTCGGTCAGAGACGTACTCTTTGATAGTCTCATCTTCACATCTAGTCATATCACATGTCATCGTGTTTCAGTCTAGGGACGAGTGAATCGGAATCCGATGAACGTTACTTGTTTTCATTGATCGAATATGACGAGTTAATGTTGAATGTTCCAATAAGCATAGAGAATGTCGGTTTTTTTCGAAGTGATTAATTTTACTTTTTGATTCTTCAAGTTGTGATGATTGTAAATCGATAAAATATTTGAATTTTTGTATTTATTGCATGATGGAATGTTTAATTTCGCTAAAACCCATTTTGACAGATGTACGAATGCATAGTACAGATGAGATCTTTTTCTACTGAATTATAAATATCATTAATTATAGGCATTTTTTGAATTTTGTCGAAAATAGAAATGCATATGTCAATAGTTTCTTTCCTTGTTTGTTAGTTAATAGAAATATCTTGCTCTAAATTGATCTACAAAACAGTAGCTATTGTTGTGTAAGTGTACATTAAGAAAACGGATCGTAGTTACATGATATATAGCTAGTTACAATTTGTGCAGGTTCCTTGGCTGATGGAATCATTTTTAGTAAAATCATGTCAAGATCAAGATAAACTCTGACGCCGCTGTATCCTGTTGAATATAGAACAAACGTAAACGAATAATGTTTTTCAAAGCGTCCATAAACATATAAAAATAGATAAAGAACGCACTGATTCAATGACACTACAGCCGATCTTGGTGCATTGCATGGTATTCCACATTCCTGCAAGAAAAGTGTTGTGAACAGAATCAGTAAAGTTTGAGGATTGAAATAGTCGGTCGTCCGTATATGAGATTTAGGAGTCATGTAAACATTGTCTTCGATGTTTGTGGGCTTCTCAAACGTATTAACTTATAGCTTGATCGAATCGTCGTCAATTTTATGTAGTAAATACACACCGTGATATCTTTCGATGACAACACTATTAAACCTATATAGCTAATTTTTTCATTTGTTATCTATAGTTACCTTACGTCTTAGAGACATGAATGTGACCTCTTTGTGATAATTCATAGTTAGTGCCTGAAAACGTTATATACTACAGCGAAACGCCACATGCTTAGAATATCTGCTAGTGAAAGAGAATAAGTTTAGGTTGGCAAAAATATTGATTACAGATTGCCGACTTTCAGCAATCTTCATTCCAGCTACAAGATGTCTTCTTATGTGTAACTTTCCGTGCACCTGGAACTTCCACATTCACTAAATGAAACTCTATGGAGAATTTCTAGTTTATCATATTCGAAAAAGAAAATATAAGAAGAACTCTAAGACGTATTCTTTCAATGCATTTGTCAATAAGATGTCGTTTTTATTGATCTCGAATAAAATGAAGACGAAATATAATTAAATAGAGCGAGCGAAGATAATCAGACGAAGAAGGCTACTGTTGATTTACACAGCGCTACAGTTGACAAGCACAAATATACAGAAACCAAAATAAATCAATGATAAAATAGTATCGTCGGTAGAAATTCCTTTCATTTATTAGTTTTATAGGCATTCTTGACAAATTTTCCAATGGAATTTCTGATGTGACAATAAATCATATTCGGTTACAGTTGGTTTATGAATAGTAATAGCCGCTTGTATGTCTGACTAGAAACAAAAACAATGTTTTATCTTTTCCTTAACGACAAACAATTGAATTCCTCACCAATGTCACAGGAGGTTCGCACAATTCAGCGGATAGGATCTTGTCGAATGTAAGCGGTACAGCGTGAGGATCATCGAAAGAACATGGTAGCCATAGTTGACGATGATCATCAAACTTCGGATTTAGTATCTGTAAACATGACAACAAGCGAAGTCTATTAAGAGCAGATCATGAAATAACTTACTTGTTTGAAATGAGTCGCCAAACAAAGTCGTCGAATAGGCCTGTGTAGTGCTTCTTTACATACTACAGCGATATCAGCTCCCGAATAACTAAAATCCCGTTCTTCCATTACAATACTTGCATGAGTGACACAACTTACCGCTCGGTTCTTCGAGCAAGTTGTATCCATTGATCTTCTTGTATCGTATGAAAAGTATCCGTACCCAAATGTATTTTAAACATCAATGCTCGTTCCTTTAAGTCAGGTAGTGGAATATGGATGCGTTTTTCAAATCTAAAATACTAAAAATAATGACAAGAATTTGAAAGTTATTGTTGACAATCGCACCGTTTTAGAATAGCTGCGTCCAATTTCCAAGGAAGATGAGTAGCAGCTATAATGAACACAGCTGAGTTGTCATTTCTAATATCTAGCACAATACGAATTTTCTGTTTTAGTTACAAAAAAGAACAAAATGATTGACCTTCCATTTGAACAAGAAATTCGTTCTTCCAAGGTGATATTTCGTATTCGATATCATTATGCTGACTGTACAGACTATCGACATGATCAATGAATAGAATGCATGGCTGTATTTCTCGAGCAAGATCAAATAAATGTTGAACTCTTTCTTTACTTTCACCCGACCATTTTGAGAGCAGATTGGTTGGATTGACAGCTACCAGTGTGCTCTTGCATTCGGTGGCAAGAGCTTCGACCAGATGCGTCTTACCTGTTCCTGATAGCTATAATTAAACAAAGATAAATGACGCTAATAAGCAAATGAGACACTCACTCCGTAAAGAAGGATTCTACTCAACGGTTTACGTTTGCCTAAGTGAAACACAATGATTAAACTATCAACTGAGGAATATATATCTGACCTGTAAAAAGCTGTGGGAATTTGATAGGCATGAAGATATTTTCTTTTAGTAAATTTTTGGCCTGTTCCAAACCGACAATATCGTTGAAAGACACTTTTGGATCAGTGACCATATCTTTTGAAAAAAGAGCACAAAGCATTCTCTATCAAATCAAATAAAGAGTATTGACAAACCCACATTGCATCATTCGTCTACAATTATCAACATCAGCAACAGCTTTTCTCTTGTCTGACCCGTTTTTCAAGATATTTATGATTTCCTCTGCTCTTTGACCATAACTTTCGATTATCGGTCGGATCGTTTGTTTCATTTGAGCGCTCATCGTATCAACTAAACATCAGTCATATTGGAAAATAGTTGGCCAAAAGAGTTAGTTTAACTACTGACATTTCATTGCTTGCTTGAGCCAATCAGCCGCCATCATATAGTGTTGTGCAGCAGCCTCATAATTCTGAGCCTTGTCTTTTTCTGCAGCCTGTTCGGCGGATCGAATAGCTTTCTATCACACAGATAAACAGTAAATCAATTGAGTATAAGCGGTGGTAGAATATAGTGTTATACCTGAATATAATCGGTTTGACCGGTTGTCATCGTTGAGCGTTCATTCTCTTGAGCCATAGAGTCACTGTTATTTGTCCAGATAGTATTGCTACGAATGTCTGATGAAGCTGTAATAGGAAAGATTTCTGCCGATGTTACTGAAAATATTTGACAAAGAATGACTTTCTGTTGCCTGAACAAGAGAGTTTGTTTTTCCTCGTTTGAGTGAATCGAAAATCGATCAGGGAAAGTTGCTGTTAGAAGAAGAAATTGAGATTTGTTGTCAGCGAACAAGTCTCAGTAGATGGGAAAGTTAAAATCGATATTAGTGAGAGCAGTGATGAGATGATTTTCCTCGAATTTTACCAGTGTGAAAAATACAGAGAAATGACAAGTAAAATCAATACTCTGCTCGATTATTGGTCTCATGAACACTATCTGTTTACTAGATTAGACGTACCAAAAGTCAAGTAACGCGTTGAGGACAAGCCAACACATTGATCGGTAACTCACTCATGATTTCTTTCCACCATACCCTGATAATCTTCTCAGCAACTGTCTCGATCACTCTGTCAAGAACTCTCTCAACAACTCTTTGGATTATCTGTTAACCTGCTAATTGCGGATCTTCTATGCAGTGAATATAAAATTGAATGAGTATGTTGATAAACAATTATTATGAAACCTTTCCGATTCGATACTGGTTGTTCGATCTTTTTATGCAAAGATGTTCGTGGTTTTGGAATCGGTTTCGGCGTTGAACAATGCGGAGATAATGATTTGGTTCGATTAGATTCTCCATCTTTATTCGCTGTGACGTTGCTACTGCTAATCTTCCTGTGCTGTTTGTCATCTGGTATTGAGATTCTCCAATGAACCGACCGATGATGTCTGTCGCGGCACAATTGTTTCAAAACATTTGATGCATCATTAAAAATATATTTGAGTCTTTGACTACTGGAGGAACCCACAATAGAATTGAATTGAGACTCATTCATAATTGCATAGATCATTTTGATTTCTAACAAACTGAGCATGCCTTCAATTACTTTCTGCTGAGTCGTATGTTCGTCGGATATGATGAGGATGATTGAATATTGTCGTGTGGATAATGAAGTGATGTATTCAGTGCAATGGATCATGGTATTGATGAAAGTTACGTGATTTTGAAGATCACGAGCAAATATCGGCACAGTATTCTTCGAATCAGCGCCGAGCCAAACGATGAACGAATGATCCAAGATCTCGGCTGGAAGAAAATTGTGTTGTGGTCGTTCTCTAGCTGAATTAAAGTCTGATTAAAGACATTTGACAGTCACTTTTTACCTTGAGCCAGTTTTGAATTAGAGGCAAACGTCACCTGTTTCTTTTTTGACATGACTCCACTCTTCAAAACGTTGAAAATAACTGATAATAACTAAACGTAATACTAAAGAAACTTCTTTGAAAATACTGCCTGTCTTACCGATAACCGAGTCTTCGCTTGATTAATGTTTGATGACTGACAGACAACGTCAACAGAAATCTTAAAAACGAAAATAACATAAGTCGATTAGATAAAAACATCGATTTTAGACGATGGTCACATAGACAACACGTGAAGCAGTTTCATTTCAATTCTCGTCAGCATATTTATTTTTCGGATTCTTATTGCAGCAAATGTCACAAACAGAAAATGAAAGTAATCGATTGCTTCTTTTTCTCTACACACATGCACACGTCTACCTGCATTAGGCACAACTAAATCCGTGAGTTGAAAGAAAAATATTGCCTATTCTGCATATCAAAACCTTGAGTTGCTATCGGTGCATGTGTTGACATTAGGGGTGGTACTTTACTTTTACTTTATAAAATAAAGGTAAATGAATCCTTTACTCTTAAAAAATAAAGATAAATGGGCCCTTTATTTTTAAAAAATAAAGATAAATGGGCCCTTTATTTTTAAAAAATAAAGATAAATGATCATTTATTTTTAAAAAATAAAGTTAAATAAATAAAGGAATACTTTATTTTTAAAAAATAAATGTAAATGAATCATTTATTTTTCAAAAATAAAAGGAAAATAAAGGAATAAATGATACTTTTTACGACGACAGATAATGTAATTGGAAGAGCACTAGAATCATGAAATAAATCTGCAGAGAGATTATTACGATTTAAAAATTTAAATTTGATTTGAAATACCTTTCTTAAGATGAAATTCAAAAATAACAGAAATGAAAGCATTATTTCTGATCTTTTAGGGGTACTAAGAAAGAGGAAAAGGTTCTTGTAACATTCTAATGTGATCTAAAGCTTTCTATGTATTCAGACATGTTTGTGAAGCTTCATTTCAGAATCATAGAATGTCTCTATCGGATCGATTATCACTCAATCTTCATATTTCTAAATAGAATTCCTTCATAATTTTGATTTTCACTTCTAATTATCCACGACCTTGCCCAATATACTCTATATACCCTTGACCTCAGAAAGAATTATAAGCAATAGCATAAGTTTTGTATGTTTCGTGGAATGTCTGCTTGCTTGCGTGAACTGACAAGTACGTGTATATTTGGGGGATTTCCAAGAAGCTGTTTAAATTAAGCCCCCTCTATCCCGCAAATTTAGTCAGCCACATAGTTTCACCATCTAATTCTTGTCGCATTAAGCTGGTTGAGGATAAGAATCTAACTTTTGGAACTCGGAAGTTGGGTTTCGCTGTAAATATTGACGCTATGAACATGAGAAGGATCCATGGTGTCATAACTCTTTCTATGTATTTGGAAAGGAGTGTGAGTATGTAGCTGGTGGAAGAAAGCGTGATTGTGCACCTGAAAACGTTCACTGAAAGAAACAAATATGAACCAGTTTTTAACAATCATTCACACACTCATCATAAACTTCAATTGTAGCGATTCCGTTTCAAAGAAAAAATTTGATATTGCACTTGCAGTAGCAGTACAAAATGCAAGTCAGATCATTACGGTGATATGAATTAAAGGGCAGAAGTAACTTAGCTAAAGTAACACGATTTCGATAGTGCTTTTCGTGAAATGAAACATTTTTCGAATAAAAAAAGTACAGATGAATATGAGAAAATAAAATTAGTGCTTTGCAAATCAGTATTGTTCAATAATTTTGATAAGGACATATGAACTTTAGATATCTTTTATAAGAGGAAAATGGTCTATGCTCACAATTGTTGTCACGCTAGTAGAGAACGATCTATTTAACCGGAGTTGGCGGAAAATGTCGAAAAGGAAAATGTCGAAAGGGAAAATGTCGAAAAAAAATAGAAAAGGAAAATCTAGAAAAGGAAAATGTCGAAGAGGGAAACGTCGAAACAAAAAACACATAGAAAGGAAAACATCGAAA